GTTCTAAACGCTCATATTGTGCATGGAACTTGCTCACTGCAAATTGTATTTTGGACCATTTGAGTTGCAGACTGTTGTTATTTCGAGTCGTATTGCATGCAACTCCCTCTTTCCAAGCTTCTAATATACGATCCCACATAGTTGCTTCCTTTTGATTGTTACCAACTTCAGCATCCTCCGAGACATATAACCATGCTTTTGTTAATTCAATCTCTTCTTCTTTTGTCCAATCCTTTTTTGCAATCAAAGATTGAGAGTTGGTAAGATTTTGAGTATCATTTTCTCTCTTCTTTCGTTCTTTGGTTGCAGCACGAGTTTGAGTATTGCACATCAGAGCATTCAAAAGACTCTGGAAGGAGAATCCATATCCATTAGTTGGATCAAGGTGAATGTGAGGTTATTGATCGACATGACGATGATAACTTCTATTTGTTGGATCAAAGTGAAGAACTGCTTGAAATGGAAAATTAATCGGATGAACGCCATTTAGAATTTGAGCTGGCATAGTATAATTCAACGAGTGTTGGGTACTTTAATTATTTTCAAATTCATGTGGGTCCATTTTTCTGCATATCCAAATCACAAATATATTATCAAATAAAGATAAAAATAAAAATAAATAGTCAGTCATTGTTTAACAAACTACACATGTCTACATCAATTTATGTTTTTAAAAAAAAGGGGACATAATAACAATGCTTAAGATGTCTAGATCACAGCAGGATGAGAACATAAGTATTTGCTCAGAGAAAGAAAAAGAAAAATCAAGAAAGGAAGAAATATGGGTCAAAGAAGTAACACCCCACTCACATAACTAAGGATTTCCATACGTAAGCCTACCCTGTGGGTGTAACAACTTAGGTACGTGAAAATTTTCACCACATTAGATTTATATATGACAGGTCAGGTCGAGACAGAACTGATGTGATGAAACACTTCAGTGGGTGTAACAACTTATTGTCATGAAATTGGTTATGTATTTAAACCTTCTACACGATCTCAAGAAAACCATGAGCCTAGTGACATGATAAAATATAACTTCCCTTGATAAAATATTATTTACATTTGCATATGTCTATTTTTTTTTTTTTTATGTATACTGGTGTGTTGGTGCTTTTCGAAAAAAAAAAATGAACAGCAAATCTCTCTTTAAATAAATTTAACATAAGGATTGTGCAATTTTTGTTTCTGATGTAACTAGCATCAAAAAATTACAATCACAATCTCTCTTCATCCATACATAGGAATTTCAGATAAACACAATCCACAAATTTTCGAGTTCATTTCACCGTACAAATAAAAATTCGTCTTTTAAGATCGAGATTTCAAATCCACATCATCAATCACACAAGTTGAAGAGGGATAACTGAAAAAATGAAAATTGGACCTTTTTAGGGCCGAAAGGAACGTGATTTTTACCGGCTCACCGACAGATGCGTCTCCACGACCTCCCTTCACCGCTTGCGTCAATCCTCCGCTTTTCCCTCGATTGGTTGCCCGCAAGATGACGAAGGAGAAAGATGATTTCTAAATTTCACAAAAACTGAATTCTTGTAGGTAAATTACTTTTGAAATTTTCTCAAGCTGTCTTCTCTCTTGATTGCCCGCGAGAACCCTCATATTTGTTTCCGCAATTTTTTTCCCAGTTTTCTTAAGATTTTGGCACGATTGTGCTGAGTCACGCTGTTATTGAGACTTTCTACCTCCACACAGTGAGTGAGAAAGTGGTCATGCCAAGTCAAAAAAATTGGGTCAAGACAGTGAACATTGGAGAGAAAAAAATAAAGACGATGTTTAAAATACTTATGTGCCATATATTTTTTGGACTCAACAGTCCTGCACTGAAGATGATCTAAGAAAACATTTGCGAACCGTTGCTTTCTTCCAGCCAATTTCCGATATCCTCCGACATCCATTTTTCTGGCAAATTTCAAGCATCAGCTCGCTACCCTCGAAATATAGCTAAAACAAAGTCAATTTACCTATTAATTTTTACATTTAACATTTTTTACACATAGTTGGCAGATTTATGGTCTATCGATGCAACATTTTGGCCGCATTTTGGTGTCGTTTGTTATCTCTGGCTAAATCGAAATCTGAATTCTCTTCCCCATTTTATTTATGGTGAAACTCATCTGTCTTTTCCATCTCTCCTAAGCACGTCTCTATTAATTTTCTATGCAACTTCATGATCACGTTGCCTTTTATCCCGAATAGAGATGGTAAAGCGACTGGACCCGACCCGATCAGACCTGACCTGAAACATTTAGGGAAAATTAAGTTGCCCCATTTCTAAAACGGGTCGGACTAAGTCTGACCCGTAAACTAAACGAGCCAGGTCCGGGTCCTGTATCAAGGCCCAGCCTGCCCCGGCCCACCTTAATTTTTTTATGTAAATTATATATAATATATAGGGTATGTTTTGTAAAACTAGCTGATAAGTTAGCTTATAGCTTATTAGTAATTTTCGAGCTTATGACTTATAGCTGAAAACTTAGGTGATATGATAAGTGGTTGGTAAAATTAGCTGATAAGCTAGATGAAATAAAAATTTCAACTAGGTTATTCGAAAAGCTACCTACAGTATCAAATAAGCTCGAACTTTTTGAAATAACTCGTCCTACCAAACAAGGCTTCTTTGAATACAGAGAGCTTATAAACTAACCAAATAAGCTATAAGCTCTTTGTTTACCAAACATAGCCACAGAGAAATGTTATAGGTACATAACATTGTACATAAACATAGATGTGTACATAGAGATGTTAAACGGGCTAGCCCTAACGGTTTCGGGCTAGCTCTTAGCGGGCTTCGGGCTAAGCGGTCTGGGCCTAAAAAGCCCAGATTTAAACGGGTTACCAATAAAAGGACCTAATCCTAACCCTAGCGGGCTTCGGGCTAAACGGGCTATGCGGGCTTTAATAATAATAATAATAATAATAATAATAATAATAATAATAATAATAATAATACTAATAATAATAATAATAATAAATTATAAAAATTACAACGACTAATTAGTGATTGTTTTCAACCGTTATTTAGTATTTACCGCTCTATATGTACAACTACACACATTTTTTTTTTCAAAAGACAAAAATATTTGAATTACTACTTACAATTACCATTTTACTACTTATTTTGTAAGCTTTGGAAATTTTTACGATATTATACCATTATAAATTATATCACTATGTTTCATGTGTTAGGTCTTTGTCTCATGTGTTTCCTATTAGTCGTTCTGATTGACTTAAATATTTTGGTGTGGAGTACTATAAGAATATTATTATAATTATCTTTCAAAAATCATTATAATCCGTTACAACTCATACTTACATGTGAAGCGGAATAACAAAATTGTAATATACAATGAATCTAAGAGCATATTACTTTACTTGCTGCAAACATTTACAACGCCCAAGTGAAGTTAAACGGGTTAGCCCTAGCGGGTTTCGGGCTAGCCCTAACGGGCTTCGGTTTAAATAATCCGAGCCTAAAAAGCCCTGATTTAAATGGACTACCAATAAAAGCCCTAACCCTATTTTTTTTCGGGCTAAACGGGCTGGCCCGTCGGGCCAAGGGCTGTTTAACATCTCTATGTGTACATAACATTAATATTAAGTGGGTCCTATTAAAAACAAAAATAAAGTGGACATTACTCCATGTCAGTATTATGTGCACATATATGTATGTACTCTTAGCATTTTTCTTATATATATATTGCAAATTAAATATAGGGAATTAGGGTTTAACCTCACCTTGCTCGAGCAGCCGTTACTCATCTCTCTCTCTCTCTCTCTCTCTCTCTCTCTCTCTCTCTCTCTCTCTCT